TTTTTCATCTGAAGCTTGAATTTATTCAATATATGCAACTCCCCTCCCCCCATACCTTTTTTTAACCCTAAAAAGGCTATAGGGGCTCTGAATTCATGCAAAGACTGGAAAAATGCTTTAAAGCATGGAGGTGCATGTTTTTAATGCCTGTAGGAAACTGAAATTTTTGGAGGTTAAACTTTAATTTTATATAATCTGGGAGGTTTAGGAAAAAATGCCTTTTATAAAATGTAAAAAAAAGGCTTTTTTTACATTTTTTATTTCACATATTCATTAAATTTTCAATGGCTTCGTAAATTTGTAATTTTAAGATACGATTTTGAATATAACATCAAAAAAAGAAACCACTAAAAATATCTTTCAAATTACTATTACATTAGATAATTTAGGGAGTTAAATAAAAATGAAAGTGATACGGCTTTTAAAACAGCTCCCCCCCCCCTTTTCCTTTTTAGGTCTAGGGTTTAAATGATCTAAAGACCATCAACATTAAAACTATATTTATCAATTGGTTGAATATTTTATTTTCAAATGATCAATTAATATTAATATCTGACCTATATGGAGAATTACAAAGGATACGCCCTATCTTCTAACCTTCAGATCCGAAGTATTTCATAATGTTGGAGAGAGAGAGAGATAACCAGAGCTAAGGATCCTTTTAATTTTAATTCGGATCCGGACTGAACAAAAATAACGGTTCTGGATCCGGGTCATAAACATTTCTATTAGATTTACTGATTTTTTTTTAACAGAGGAAGTATTCTAAAATATTTACATTTCTTTTTTCGTGATTTTTATGTAAACTTTATGAACCATTCAGAGAAACCGAAATTTTTGAAAATCTCTACTTTTGTTTTAACAGTTCATATTTGGGGTATGAGAGCAAAATATTTTTGTTTGTGTTGATATGGATCCATATATTTTTCCGGATCCGGATCCAGGTAGTTAAAATGTTGCAGATCCAACAGATCTGAATCCGGATCCGGATCCTAAGCACTGGACAATATTAATTTAATTATTATTTCTCGGTTAATTGCATTTAATGGCCTGTGTCCTAATTTCATAAATTTAAGTAGAGTCTCTAATCCCCCAAAAACCGGTTTCAATTGAGCGCCGACTTAATCTCGAAAAATTGACTACAATTTTAATTCTTTAAATTCGGCCTCTGTATGATCATATTTTTATTCCTTACTGATCATTTAATTATCATGCTCTTAACCCTATTCCTGCTGTTTTTACATAACTCAAAAAGTATTGGTCTGAGGCTGTTGAAATTTTCTGACTTTTCTTACATACCCAAAGCCTGAGTCCTCAGGCACACTGCCTGAATGACTGCTTTTGCCTGTAACAAACTAAATCTTTGTTTTGACCCACTTTCACTTGTCAGATTTTGATAAAATTTAGCTTTTTAGAAAGCCTATGACATAAGGAAACGAATTGCACAAGTTTTGCGAAAAAAAATTGCAAATTTTTTGCAAACAACCTGTCAAAGGAAATTGGCATATTTTTAGTTTTTCTTGATTAAAAATCAGGTTATTAAAAATTTTGCAAAAATTTTTGCATATTTGAAATGGCATGGTCAAGGGCTTTTCAAAAATGTATAATTTTTCATTTTTTGGACAAATTTTTTTTTGCAAACATTTTTACTATATAACTGGATTTTGCGATAAAAAATTCAATTTTTGCAAATTTGCAAATTTTTTTTTGCAGATTCTAAAAGTACAGCACAAGAGCTTTCTAATGATGTATCATTTGTCATATTTGGACATAAAACATGGGATTTAGAGGGGGGGGGTCAAATTGACCCCCCCCCTCAGCATATCCTTGTTTTCAAGTACCCCAGCAGGGATAGGGTTAACCTTTTATCCAGGATTTAATTTCATCATTTCCGATTAAAACTCTCTTCAGGGTCATATATATTAATCCTCCCCCCCCTCCTCCTCCTTCCGTCTATTCAACATCCTTCCCAGCCTCCCCCTCCCCACATCCTTTACCATTAATTGTGCCCATATCTTCCACCAATATATTAATATTCTTGAAATATGCCTGATATTACAGAATATTTAGACCCCTCCCCCACATCCTTTACCATTAATTGTGCCCATATCTTCCACCAATATATTAATATTCTTGAAATATGTCTGATATTACAGAATATTTAGACCCCCCCCCCCTCCCATCAAAAGGAATTGTTCAGATACTTTAGTATTGTAAGGGGCACCAATTTTTAAACGAAAAAAAAATATAATTGAAATTGATCATTGATAGCTGTGAACTAGTGAATGGACAGGTTAAGTGTTCTTCCATCATGGTTAAATCTTAGGATTAGACTAATTGAGCTTAAGTCTTAAGTTAAACCCATTCCGTTATTTCAAGTTTCCAGCGACGAATAAACAGTAATAATTCACCATCTTAAAACGAATCTTTTAAATAATCAAAATGATTTTTAACTCTTCCCAATCTATTATCCCCCCCCCTCGCAGAGATCTTTCTCATTTCCCCCTGCCCCCCTTTAATCATATTCCTAATTACATGTACCATCTGTAATTACACGCTGAACACTCAGTGCCAGGATCTAAAAAATACTTTGTGGTTATTTTTTAATTCCTATTTTATAGTTGATTGAACAGCAAATATTAAAATTCATCACAACTTTTGTTTTTCTATATTTAAAACTTATTTCGACATTTTGTTTTTATTTTTTGTTGTCTATTTTTTTTAAAATTGTCTCCCAAATTTAGGAGCAAAGGGGTGGGTGTATCCCCAAACCCCCTGTATACGCCTTTTCCAATAATTGTCTTTTTTATGCGACATGTTTGAACTTGATCAAGAAATGTTTTCGAATTCTTCTGCCCTTGAGATCCAGCATTCTAATTTAACCCTTAGCTTTTTCTTGAACTATTTCACGCGCAGATCTTATAGAAGATAAATACGCCACCTTTTTAGTTAGTTAGAAACACTCCATATTTATAAAGTTTAACGCACATTAGCGCCCCCTCCCTTTCCTTTGTAACCCCTTCCAACTTTCCCCTTCTTCAAATACTATAAATAGCTTAAAATCTTTGTTTTCGGCAATCTATTCTGCGCAATTTTTAATTTGTTTCGCAGAATTCTGAAAATGACCTCCCCCCCCCCTTCTCCTCATGAAATATTATATTGAGGGCAATGCATTTAGTTGCACTAATATCATTATTCATTTATGCATTTACAACTTGCATAGAAACTTCCTTATGTTGCCTTACATGCATAAGAGAGCAACATAAAACATACAACGCAATCTAAAACATAGCAACTAAAACATACATAGCAACCCAAAACATTCATAGCAACTTAAAACACATAAGCAACCTAAAACAAACACAGCAACTTAAAACATACATATCAACTTAAAACATAAATAGCAACCTATAACATATAAAAGCAACCTAAAACACTTATTGTAACCTAGAAAATATAAAGCAACCCAAAACATACGTAATCAAATTTTGATTGAGGAATTTGGGAGAACCACAGAAATGTTCATAGCTTGGTTTTGAGAATTTAAGATCAAGTGCGGGTAAACGGCGGGAGTAACTACGAGTAACCTGAGCAACGCTGAGTTCCCAGGGCTAGTAATTCGTAAATTTTCTGTTTATGAAAAACCAGAAAATCTAAAATTGGTGCCTAGAGAATGCCTGCCAGCAGTGCCCTGTCATATTTACAAAATTCTGGCAAATATTTAGGAATTGCACTTTTCAACTACAGTTACATAATAAAGCCATGGTTATTGCACAAAGATGTATTTTATGGAGCACAAAAGGGGCGTTTATCTCTTTTTTTATACCCCCCCCCTCATCCCTCTTCCTGATTTTGAAATAATTTTTTAAATTTAAATTGATAAAATTATGATTTTTACCTCTTATTTTTATAACCCCATCATAAGAAACCTCGTTTTTGATTGTCTCGCACTGAATATTACGCCTCCTCCCTTCTAACATAAATACTTTGTTTTTTATTTTATTAACTGTCTGCTGAAATTGTCTGCTGCACGTTTTTTGTGAATTCTGCTCATTTGCTTCGTTTAATTGCAAGCACCACGCTTCATATATTTCATGCATCAAGGCAATTAAATGTTGAATATGTTTCTTTTGATAATTAATTATTAATTGAGTTGGGTGTTTAATTACTATTGCAATGAATTAAACTCGCCAATTGCTCCCAGCGTTATTCTTTACTGACAAAACAATTGGGAATTTAGTACTTCTTGAAATTTTAATTGTCAATTCTATCCTTATTATTTTATTAATTGATAAATTAGAGGATGCACATCAGAATCTCCAAACGATTCTGCCCGACCCACTAGTAGCATCTTCCCATAAGTATTTGGGAGCCGGGGGTGCCGGAGCTCTTTGGATTTAGCCCCGATGGCGGTCTGGGCTCTCCAAGAAGGGCGGGGGGTTCAGATCCTATCTTATCTTATCTAATCTTATAAAGGTTTTTTCCCCGAGATTTGGACAAAAAATGATATTTTCTCTAGAAAACATTACCCCTTTTTATACTGTTATATAAACCTAGAATTTCATCTATTTCTTTTTACAAAATCATTAAAAAAATTGCAAGAAATTTTTTGCTAGTGTTTTGTTAAATCATCCCCCCCCCACTGCACTGTTTCATTATTTTTGATGTTATAGGGTCTTCTAAACTTTTTTGACCAGAGCTGAACACTTAATTGTGGATATCGAGATCAAAGTTTGATCTTTTCTTTTTTTTTAATCTCCAGATTATTATAATCTTTATCCACTAAAGTGCCTTAAATTCTACCAATCAGAGTGTTCCAAAAGAGAGGATTAAGAAAATCGTAAGTTTCCACACAGTAGATATATTCAGATTAAGCGCTTGGGATTAAGGACATCCAATTCTGAAGTTTTCTGCTCTGGATCGATTTCTTTCTAAAATTTTCACAAAAAAGGGTATGTTTACGTTTTTCTGAAACAGTTATTGATTATTTCTTTTTGTAGAGAACCGGTCCTGGCGATGTGTACGGTAAGGTTCGAGGGAATTCTCTCGGCCGCGGCCTGGACGAATTGGATTTCTCGGACGACGATGCCACCCCTCTCACAGAACCTATTTACAACGGAAGGTAGGACTGATAAGATTTTGTGCAAAAATATACAATTACAATTTTCGTACATACAATATACCAATAATGATAGTTTTGTAGTATATTGGAGCAATGTGTACAGAAGTGTATTTATTTGCAATATACATTATTACATATATACACTTTACATTATACTATTACATTATTACATATAAACACCATACATTATACAATTTACACTTTACATTATACTATTACATTATTACATATATACACTATACATTATGCAATTTACACTTTACATTATATTATTACACTATTACATATATACACTATACATTATACAATTTACACTTTGCATTTTATTATTACATTATTACATATATACACTATACATTAAACAATATACACTTTACATTATATTATTACACTATTACATATATAAACTATATATTATACAATTTACACTTTACATTATACAATATAGACTTTACATTATATTATTACACTATTACATATATACACTTTACATTATATTATTACATTATTACATATATACATTATACAATTTACACTTTACATTATACTATTACATTATTACATATATACATTATTAAGTGTAAAAACTTGGTAAAGAATGAATTTACTTATTAACTACAGTCTTTCTTATTAAATGATGCAATTGTGAAATTTTCCAAGTAACCACCCCCCCCCCAGACTTAAATATGGCTGTGCCCGCTGTGTTTATGTATTCATCTAATATTCTTTCTCAATTCTTTCCCGGGGAGAATTTGGTGAAAGTTGCAGAGTCCAGAAATATGAACATACATTGTTGTGAGCATAGTCCAGAAAATAGAGTCTACAGATTTGAAAATTGCAACATTAACTAGGAAGTTTTGGGAAACTTTAACGAGCCATAAGACAGTAGCTAAATTATTAAAAAGCTAAAAGGCTTATAAATTTTTTTAGCATAAGAATTTAAATACCAACAAAACTTTATACTCTTTCCCCCCTTTCCTAATTACACCCATCAATCGAAAAATTCCTAAACCAATATGCATACTTCATACCTAAACTAACAAAGGTTTTTAGGCGAAGGCGGGAGGGAAAAGGCCTAAAAGGGGGGGAATTAAGAACTTGAAAGTGGGAGCTTTGAAATGTTGTACATACATATCGTATACCCATTCGTATTTAAGATACATGATATATTATTCAGCATATCCGTCTTGCTTTACATTCAGTGGAATATCTAGAAAAACTCGGAACAGGTGGTTTCAAAAAAAATTATGCCTATCAGGAAATGTTCGAGTTTTTGCAGCTAGTGGTTTTGAGTTCAATATATAATATTTTTTTAATTAAGGAATTTACTCCATAATAAATGTTCTAATATAATTATTAAGTAAATTTTTCTGGAACACTCTTTATGTAAGCTGTATGCATGAAACCACCCACTGGGCTTTGTCCTTGTTTAGTGTCTTGAGTATATATATATATATATATATATATATAATATATGTTTGCTCCAGATTCGGTTTCTTCCTTCTCATCCATCCTGCTTATTTACAGAGAGGGGTCCCCCCTCCCCCCATCCACTGATGTTTTAGCTCCCCCCCTCCCTCTGGTAAGGAACGCCCCTGCTCAAGGTAACATGCTCCTGATTCCTGAGCAGGGCGTGGTTCAACTTCTTCTCCAGGTTGGAAGGAAGGATGGATGGTTTGCACTATACCACACTACACCCGGAGAGAATTCAAGGATTTATATTACAACTTCAACCCCTACCTTTCAAGATCTGTACACCCTTCTATTTAGATTATTTAATTGTAATTTTTAGTCTAGGATTTTTCTCTATCACTTAAAGGGAGTGTTCGCGAAAAATGAAAGGGGGTCTAGGCCTAATGCGATAAAAAAGCGCTTTTGATCGCTACTAATCTTACTTCTATCTGTTGCGTCTATAAGGAGAAAATTGTTAAAGACGTCTCATACCGAATAACATGGCGTCCATACAAATTGAGAAAATTGCAACATACGACTTAGACCGTAAAAAAATCAATTTAATTTCAAACAAATCATTCAGATATTACAACCTATAGTCATCGATTATCTTTCGCCACATTTATATATATAGTTGATTTTTCATAATATGTTTTAATTGTTATGATCTGAGAGTTACTTATAAAAACATATATTCCTGTTTCGAGGATTTTTGGTAATGGAGACGATATTTTCATATTTTCCAGGAATGTTCGAAAACAAGTTGTAAGCTAAAAATTATTTTAAAAAACAAAATCAAAACTAGGATGAAATATCAAATATATACAAATGTGGCGAAAGATAATCGATGACTATAGGTTGTAATATCTGAATGATTTGTTTGATATTAATTTGATTTTTTTACGGTCTAAGTCGTATGTTCCAACTTCCTCAATTTGTATGGGCGCTACGCACTTCGGTATGAGACGTCTTTATCAATTTTCTCCTTATAGACGCAACAGCTAGAAGTAAGATTAGTAGCGATCAAAAGCGCTTTTTTATCGCATTAAGCCTATACCTACTTTCATTTTTCCCGAACACTCCCTTTAAGGTGTTAGCATCTATATCATTAACTACATTTTTACTATTGCAAGAATTTTTGACCCCCCCCCCGGAGTCCCTCTTCCCTTCTATGTTAAAAAAATATTTTTGCTTAACCTCCCCCTTTTGTCTGATGTAAGTTAAATATTTTTTCTTAATCGATACCTCCATTTTACTTATTTTACATCACTGATTTATGTAATTGAACTCTATTCTATTCTCACTGTGTTGCATCCATTTTTAAATAGTAATGGAACCATGCAATTTTTTTCCATCGTATACATACACACCCCCTCCCTCCATCCTGTCATGTTTGATGAAAATGTATTTTTATTGCCCTCCCCCCTCCCCCTCCTTCAACGCTGCGGTTAAACCCTTGACATATTGCTCAAAATATTTATTTCCACAATTAATTTAAACCTTAAATATGAAACCAATAAATCTTTATTCTTCTGTTTTTTAACAACTAAATCGTTATTTTTCCGGTTTTCAACAACTAAATCTTTATTCTTCTGTTTAAACTCTACAACCGTGTTTTTATAACTCTCGGTTCAAAATCAGTGGCTTTTCAACGTTTGCTCAGATTTTGCACGGCAAAAATGCGAAAATATACTTGGGAATTATGCAAATTTTGTGGTCCACAATTCACAGTTACGAAGTTGAGAAAAAATTACAGCTATTTTTATGACAGAAGAAAAAATTTTAAAACAAAAACATTACAGAAAAAATATTGATGCTGTGAAGTCAAACTTTTAATTTTTTATTTTTCAAGAAAAAATAATTTGTTTTTTCTAAAAAGTTTTCGATAAATGCAAAGTTAAAAAAATTGCTTGCTAAATTTTATTTTATTTTCAGGAATGTTATACTAGACAGAGCAAATAGTTTATTAGACTAATTAAAATAATTAAATCAGAAACACACATCATACATTCGATTATCTCCCCCATTGGACCTAATTATTTTTACTTCAACATTTTCTTTTACATTTTTGAACGAATTGCTTTTGTGTATATGCTTAAACTTGATACCAACATCCAATTCCTTTATAGCTCCATCAAGTAGAGAATATGATTCTCACGGTAAATACAATTTTCCAACCGCCGTCATCATTTCCGTTTACAGTACTCATAGATTAATAACAACACAGATAGAACATTAGAGGTCGTTGTTCACAATAACCCTTGAGACAGAAGCCCAAAGGAGTTACGCCCATGCCGCATTGAATGACATGACAAGACAGAGAAGAAGAGCATAAGCGTAACTTTTTTGGCTTCTGTATTGTTATTAATCTATGACAGGACTGATCAAGGACGATTTAGTGACGTAACTTGTCTTCAATAATTCCCTTCACTGGGCACGTAATCTGAGGGGGGGGGGTCAAGTTTTTTTTTTGCAGGGAGTGGGGGGGGTGAAAGTCAGACGTTATCGCTTCTGTTTGATTTGTTTTTCACTAAAAAGTGCATTTATATAGATTTACAGTGTGTATAAAATTATTTAATTATTATTAATAATCGAGATATTTCATAGATTTAAAAAAAATCTTATCCTCTGATACAATTGTTAAAGCGTCAAACATAGATTGAAGCGTATAACATACACGACTAACCACAACCAATATTGATCCTGCAATATATATAATATATATGAACCTTATTTTCATTTATACATTTATATTATAATTAAACCATGAGCTTGTCGTGTTTATGCAAAGGAATGTCACGACATTTTAATAAAATCATTTCCCAACCCACATTCTAAGGTTGGATACATGTCATTTTCATAAACTTGGCTTATTCTGATAAATGCCTAATAATTATGTTTTTAAATCTCAAAAAAGGAATGGGTAAAGGTACTTTTAGAACATTTGCTTTATATTGGGGGGCTACATGGAAATATGCATATGACAGACACAAAACATGTACATGAGCATGTACAGCTAGACAACCCGACATGGGCGTCATTTGAAAATCTACCAAATTTGAATATTTTGGGAGAAAAGATTTAGAAATTCGTCCAAATTTGTTCCATCCTAAATCTATACACGGGAGAATGAATTTATAAATCCATATTTTACAGGTCGTTGGGGTCGTATGGAGGGTGGTTCTGACCGTTTTTAAATATCTGAATGTGGTAGTTGAAAAATAGTTATTTTTTGCTGCAAAATATAAAATATGTGCCGGATATTTTTCCTGTCTTTCTGTTTTCTCTTTTTGATTTTTCTTCTCCTTCTTGTCGTTCTCCTGCTTCTCTTTTTTCTTCTCCTACTTCTTCGCCTCCTTTTCCTTCACCTTCTCCTACATTCTCTTCCTCCTTCTTCACCGTTTATGCCTTCTTCGCCTCCTTTTCCTTCTCCTTCTGCTATCTTCTCTTCCTCCACCTTCTTGTCTCTGTCTTCTCCTTATTCTCATTCTCAATCTACTCCTTCTCTTTCTTTTCTTCTTTTTTCTTCTTCTCTGTCTTACCCCTAC